CGCAGAACACACAACGGAGTATTGTGTGGGTGAGAAATTTGTGCGGTGTCTTCTCACAAATTTTGTCCACAATCTTCGTTCGTCCGGTCTTGTTTTTTCCGAAGGAAATTTATGCATAATTATTCCTGGTGTGTGCGTAGAATTTTTGCAACTAACACCACCAGGACCGCCACAAACACAGTATCTTCCACCTCGCTTCACAGGAGCTTTTTGTGATTCCGCCATACTTGCAAATATAAAACATTGTGATATGTCCATACGCCTACGTCACAGGCCATATGATACCTTGATTGACCGCGCGAAAGAAATTCGCACAATTACTGACAATTTATCCTACTTTAAATCGTTTTAGTTTAAAGAATATCAAACCAATTAACATGAAATTTTGCCAGGTTGTTTTATAAATATAGATCTTTCAATATATCGAGAAAAAAATCAATTCGAGATTTTCATGTCATAGACACTTTAATGCCAACACAACTGCAGAAACGGACAATCCTGAGAACCATAGTCAAGAGAAAACTACTGAATCGAAAGCGGAAGAAAATCCTGTTCTGACACATTTACTAACAAGATGTGCTTTGTTCTCAAAAGTTCGACGGATTCATGAGGACGACAAGAACCTTGTTCAAATAAATGATTGGAAAGAAATCGTGTAGTCTATTGTCAACTGAAGAATTCTACTTTAGTATTGGGCAAATTTGCTGCATGAGTAAAACTTCTTGCTTCTTGAAATAGAGGCATTATATAGCTTTATTTCTTTCTTTCCTTAAAAAACATTTCATTGTTTTATTAGCCGCCATCAAGTTGGTACAGCAATGTCAACACTTTTTCATTAACAGAATCAATGACTGAGTTGCTTACAGATGTTAATTACATTGTACACACTGCACTGTGTCACAATATTTGTTCCAACAAAAAACTGCAGTTCGTGCTTTAGAGTATTGTGTTATACAATTCATACTCTACTGGCGGTACTGCACTCTAACATACTGTATGTATAATCCTCAAAAACACTGGACAAACGGAAGGAAGGCAAAGATTATGGAAGTCCTGACAATGGATTACATGTTGAGTGAAGAAAGTGATCATGAAAGTCAACCACTGCAGAGGACGAAACAGTGCATTGTCAGACCTCTCTTGTGACAAAGCAACAAGTTCAAGAGATACAAAGGCTGGACAAGGGCCATCTTGATAGTCTGCCTGAACTTGTCAAGAAAAGAACATTACCGAGAAGTGTTGGAGCACCTTCTATAAAAAATAAACCAGACAGTTGTCTGGAGTGCCAGACAGTTGTCTGGAGTGGGCATGCATTGAGTCAACTGGTACCTCAACATCATCGAATACTAATTCAAGCCCACTCTCGACCTCAACTACTCCACCAGATGGGCCACCAATCGACTGAAGAGCTGTCCATCGCCCTTTGAGTCGCTGTGCGGTATTGCAATAATAATACCTGTAGAACATTTTTACCGAAAGCAAACATCTTTGAGCATTAACAATTGATATATAGTGTGGACTGTATATACAACTGATTCAATTAAGGTTGATCCTGAAGGTGTTCAAGTACGTAGTCACCTGCCATTTGCCGACCAGTTTACTCTGTGTCATGCCCATATCACATGTGGCACATCGAAGGCAATCCTAAATTGATGTGTTGGCGCTTTGTGTTGCATCATGGCATGGATGGCTTTAGTTGTTTGATTACATTTGGAAAGGTCTCTGATAATAATCGAACTGCAACAACTGTTATGGAGTTATTTTACTTTAGCCCCCCACCCCCCACTTCCACGGTCCCTGAGCCAATTTTTCTTCTTTCAAAGAGGCTAGTTACTTGAGGCATGTTGACCCTGTTATTAACAGGGACAAACTAGCTGGCTCGGTGTTGTCAAAGGAATTCTCAGTGTTGTTAAAGAAACTCTCATTTGAGAAACTCTTGGCAAGAGAAAGAATGGATATGAAAAATGTTTTATTTTCTTGCAATTATATTCTTGAAGCATTCCACACTTTGTCCTTGGACACTACTTGGGTGTTTAATTTTATTGACTAATTAATTTAATGTATGCTTGTACATTAATAAACAAATGGCCTTGATAATTATTTGTGGAGAATGCTGGTGTTCATGCATATATAGGGTGTATAAAAAAAATGCAACCTCGGAATTTCCCGAGAAATCGACATTGTTTTAAAGACAAAAGATTTATTTGTGGAGAATGCTGGTGTTCATGCATATATAGGGTGTATAAAAAAAATGCAACCTCGGAATTTCCCAAGAAATCGACATTGTTTTAAAGACAAAAGATTTTAGGCGCCTGGGAATTTAAAATAGCACAACTGTCAAAATTACTACTCACGCGAGTTGCATGAAGCAAAATTTATGCATTTATTTAATGCAAAACAACAGTAATATGATCTATTAGAAAACCTTTTAACTTTTCAAGGTGAAAGAGGGTCATGCCAGACTGAATTTTAGTCCAACTGAGAAAGAACATTTCAAAGTGCTATACAAAACCAATCCAATTGAACCCAATCTTACCGCCATTTATCAGCCTATGTATGATGCTCTATTAAAGTGCAAGGACGATGAACCAATTTGTGTGAATGACTTTGCTCCAGCTGATTGTCGCCATCGTTATGAGTTTGTTCATAAAATGAAGGTTCCATGCAAGGCTATTCTATACACTCACTCGGATAGTGGTCCAGCAAACCTTCATTTCTTGTGGCAAGTGTCTGAGTTTATCGAACAGGGGGAACTGTTAAATGAGGTGCACACAATTTCTAAAACCATTGTCAAGGATCTTCCCAAGTACCATAGCAGGGCACTTCGAAAAGAGTTCACCGATTGCTTTGGTAGAGCTACCAACTGTAAAGCTGCGTTTCTTCGTGAGGCCTACCATAGGCTAACCGGTGATGCCTCTGCACCTGAGACAAGAAAACAAGCCGAGGTTGATGAAAGAATCAACAGAATCCTAGATGAAGAAGACACAGACCTGATATGGGATTTATGCAGTCAAAATAGTGGTCGGCATGAACACTATTCAGTTTTTCTAGAGCAATGCCAGTCATACATTTCCTCTACCATTGAAACAGCTGTTGATGAAAGGCGTCACGATACTGTTGCAGAAGGAGATGTTATAACTCACCTTGCTGATGCCCTTAGTGTGCGAGACTTGCACGAAGAAGTGGTGAAAAAGTGTCGTGATGGTACACCAATCCCAAGCATCCAGTGGTTGAGAATACAATTCTGGCCAAGGCGGCCTTGTGCAAAAACTGCTAGCAGATACACTGGTAAACTGAAAGTAAAGTTTATGGTACAAGCATGCCAGGTCCGCGCACACCATGCAGATGACCATTATGCCTCCGCTTTATTCCGTTATGAAAGGGAATTTGCGCTGAAATTCCGTGACCATGTGTCATGAGTCTGGACGACAAGCATACAGTGAAGGTTGGAGAGCCTGGGTACCCTGTTGCTTCAGTAGAGAGAGGAAAGAGCGTCATTGTTTCCATGTCAAAGAAATTTGCTGTGGCTGATCATGATTTTACACATCTGAGCCTTACACCTAGTGTATCTTTGACGATTGATGTACCAGAAACCATCGAAGAGAGTTTCTATCGGGGAAGAGTATTTGTGATACTCAAAGAAAATGCGTTTCAGCCATCTTCTCCTATTCACCATATGACTGAACTCCAGCAAACCTTGAAACGTCTGGGTTCAGTTAAGCCTATTCTTGTCATCTACACAGATGGTGGTCCTGATCACCGCCTTACATACCTTTCAGTTCAGCTATCTCTCATGGCAATATTCTTGGACTTGGATTTAGATTTCATCTGTGCTGTGCGAACACCAAAACGTCAAACCTCTACTCGTCAAACCTCTACTCCACTCCCAACAACATGGTTTTCGTGCAGGAAGGTCCTGTATCACCCAACTACTCGATGTTGTACACAATATTGGCAAGGCATTAGACTGTGGAAAAGAAATTGACATGATATATTTGGACTTTTCAAAAGCATTTGACTCTGTTCCCCACGATAAACTAATTGTGAAACTCCAACAATTTGGAATAACAGGACGGCTTTTGCACTGGTATAGCGACTATTTAATGGGATGAAAACAACGTGTTGTAGTAGATGGTGTTTCGTCGAGCTATCTTGATGTGACCTCCGGAGTTCCACAAGGAAGTATTGTCGGCCCCCTACTCTTCCTGGTCTATGTTAACGACCTCCCTGACGCTGCTAAATACAGCAAAGTACCCATGTTTGCCGACGACAGCAAATGTTATCGAGTCATAGAAACGTCACATGACACTCAACTCCTTCAGTCCGACCTGCAATCCCTTTGCAATTGGTCCTCTACCTCAGAATTGAAGTTTAATCTCAAAAAATGCATTGGAATCAGATTCTCCCGCAAACGTTTAATTGAGTCACCCGAATACAGTTTAAACCAAGAACCGATAACCCTTAAACCCTCCCAAAAGGACCTCGGAATAATAATTAGTAACAACTTAAAATGGTCACCTCAGATAACCAGTATCGTGTCAAAGGCAAATCAGATGCTTGGTTTTCTCCGACGTAACTGTATCCACCTGACTGATACGAAATGTCGACGCTCACTCTATCTGGCACTCGTGAGAGCTCATCTATGTTATGGAAGTGAACTTTGGGCGCCTCAATCAACATCAAAGGCCCTTCTCCGTATCGAAAGTGTTCAACGACGAGCGTCCAAATACATACTTCAAGATTACCACTCTTCCTACACTGACCGACTGAAACTTCTTAACCTTCTTCCTATTTCGTACTGGTATGAGATGAAAGATATTATTTGTTTCTACAAGATCAAATCTGGACTCTACGACCTAAACCCCGAAGATTATATCGACCACCCTACCCATCATCTGACCCGCTTCAGTTCAACCAATTGCTACAGACCCAACCTTTGCAGAACTGCCTATTTCAGAAGTTCCTTCTTCAACAGAATTGTGCCTCTGTGGAACAACCTTCCTGAAGATCTGAAATCCTCCACCTCTACTGCCACACTCAAATATAAACTGAAGAACTATTACCGGGTCAAACTTGAAACATTCTTTGACGTTGATCGTCCGAGGACATGGAAAACCATTTGTTCTAAATGTCGCTCTTGTTCTATTACTTGTTGTTCATGATAGTTGAGAGCGCTCCAAGCTGTCTTTGCATTTCCAAAATGTCTTTGTTTCAGTCTGTTGAATAAATTAAATTAAACGCCCAGATAAAAAACACCCGGGCAGTCTATGTTCTCGAAATACTATCTTTGGAAAATGCAGGGACAGCTTGGAGCACATGCATGTTTAGGATGTTTACTGTATTCTGTGACTATGTCTGTGCTGCACAATGTTGACTCATCTATATGTATATTATTTTTTTTTCTAACTTGATCATTTTCCAAACCATATTAACTTTGGAAAGTGTAAAGATGGGTTGGAACGCATTGATCGTGTGTTGTAATTTTGTATTGTAGCTTTGTTAAAGTTGTAACCTGTCTCTATTGTTTTACAATGTCAGTGTAATGTGTAGGTAGGACTTGATTTGGGACTCCTCAGTCCTGTTGTCTGTACCTTCAATCGTTTTATTGATTGTAAAGTTTATAAAAAAAAACAAAAAAAAAAAAAAACACCACCGCAACATAGTTGGAAAAATCCGGTCGAGAGGATCATGAGCATTATTAACCTCGCTTTGCAGGGAGTTGGCATCATGCGTGAAGTTGTTGCACACGAGGATGAGCTCAAACGTTGCAACAACTTGAAGTCTATCCGTGGCCTTGCGTCCAAAATTCCAGAGATCCAAGAAGAGGTTATTGGTTCTATAAATTCTACAAAGGGTCTAATGTCTTCCATGAT